GACATCTTCCGATGGGGAAAAAATGCAAATAATTACAACTAGAGTAAAAAAAAAACCACCACATAATCATAAATTAAAGATAAATTAATATAATCAAATTTGCAAAATAAATAAATTTTTAAGACAATTTGCAAATAAAATTACCATTTTTGTTAAAATGTTAAAAATTTAGTGTTCTGGCTATTTAGCAAAAAACAAATAAAACATTCTGGGTTTTATCTTGCAAAAAATAGAAAAATTCTAGCCATTTCGCAAATTGCAGAAACTTGTTTGGACCTATTTTGCATAAAACAGAACTATTGCCAAAATTGCAAAAAAACCGGAAATAGTCCTAGGCAATTTTTAATAAAAATCAGAAACAATCAGGTCACTTTATTAATTTAAATAACTCCAGGGGGTACAAACGGAATAACTGAGTACTTCTGGTCCAAATTAAAAAAAATTAAAGTCCAGGGTTAAATATAATAAACAAGAAAGATTTCAGGGTAAAATAAAAAAATAAAAACTTAAAGATCAGGGGTCAAAAATATAAAATTTAAAAAAATTGAGGGACCAGACGGGAATTTTGGCAAGCAGCAGCTTCTTCACGAAGAAGCCCTAGCCGCCGCTACCCCTTTTCCCTTCAACCTCCATTAACGCCTATGCTCGAGCTCCCGCCGCCATCGGCTCCCCGTCTGGATGCAGCAAGCTCGCTGACGAACTTGAGTTTCGAAAAACAAAAATCAAAACAGAAACACAAAATTTTATCTTTTCTTGCCCCTTTACTGATCTTCAAAACAAAAACCAAATATATATATATATATATATATAATTAATGCCCATTAAAAACCACAGTTTCAAAAACAAGGGTTGTACCAGATACTGCACTTTTGTGCTACTGTCCTTCAAAACCTCTTGAAGCTCTCTTGTAACCATGTACCAATCAAACAATCAAAACAGATTATAGATACACGATTGAAACATGACAAAATAGCCACCATCATACAGTTTCACCTTATTTGTTATAAGCTCATAGTGAGTGAACTGTCTCTCCCCTCTCTTCATTATGGGATTTTCCAAAGCTTCCTCTCTCTATATCTCTATAAACAAATAAATAGAGAGAGAAACCAGAGCAAGCAAACCTCATCAATTTCAAAGGGTTCTGTTTTAATACCACATCATCTGATAATCCCTAACTATCTCTCTGAGTGGCAGAGAATAGAATAACGTGCGTCTCTCTATTCTTAGGGTTTTCAAATCTTATATTAAAAAAAACTCTCTTCGATAGAAAGATATTTTTTTTTAATATAAAATAAATTAAATAAAAAATTATTTAATTAAAATAATTATCAATTATTTTAAAACTGAATAATTTATCTATTATTTAATACACCCTTAACTTTCCAAATAATTAGGGCACTACAGGGACCTCAGGAATAAAATAAATCAGGCTACTAATTATAATAATAACCTATGTAGACCAACATATTCTTATTATAATTAATCATGAATTATTCCACTTTATTCCACTAAAAACTCATGACTGAACTCCTTATTTATTTTACAATTCCACAACATAATAAAATAATGTCTCTTATCAGCGTCTTGTGGGAGTAGATGTAGGGCGAGTAGTGCCGAACCACTATAATTTTCTGTGATTGATCTTTTATTCTGAAGTTTGCTTTGAAACTGCTTATATAAAACACTTCTGTTAATTTTTTAGAACGCTAAAATTGTTAATGATCAGATGTTTCTAAATGTAATAAGTCTTATCTATTCTGAACATTAGAAACTCTGTATTCTAGTAAAGTGAATATATCATGTTCTACTGTTGTTCTATTCACGTATATTTCACTTGATTGGGTTTTCTAATCTTACTTTTCTAAACTTTTATGAGGAAGTTCTAATCCTTGATAAGCTTTCCATCGTAAAGTCATTCTGATATTGATTAAGGCTCTGTAAAGAAGTCTGAATTAATAAATTGTCTTCACATAGGCTTTATATGTTCTTCAAGACTTTATGAGTAAGTTCAATTTTCAAAACTTTCCTTCATAAAAGGAAGTCTGATATTGAATAAGTCAAGTGTGAAGCTTTCTAATTGATTAAGCTGCACTTTGCACAGACCTTTCTACTTTTGTAATTAGGAACATTGTGAGGTGATTCTAATCCATATTCGCTATTCTCACAAAGTTCTGTGTGTTTTCCGCTGTGCTGCACTTAGAATTCTAATTTTTGTTTACAATTTCTAAAATTTATTTCAGTTTTTAGAAAACCCAATTCACCCCCTCTTGGGTTGTGCCATACATATACGGGACCCACAGAATATTAAATTTATTTGTTTTGTATAATTATCAAAATCTCAAGATAAAATTGACCCTTGAACCAACATTGAGTTATTATGGGATCATTTATTAAAAACTCTTGAATATTATGTTTGTGGTAATTCATTAATGAGAAAATATTATGGGTAGTAAATTATTGATTTTATATGAATTATTGATTCTCTAATTCATATTGAGTATTATGTTGGAGAAATGATTTGAAAATTATAATTAGATCTTGGTTGATTTATAGAGTGTTCAAATGATTTTTCTGATATAATAAGATATTTGTAATATAAGGAAAACACTCGTAGTCCTTCAGTAGTATTTTCTGAGAAATTTTCTGTATATTAGGGACTCTTAAGAATTTACGGATATTAAGATATAATGTGGCAGGAAAGTTTTACTATAACATTTATGTAGATGCTCTTTGTCTCTGGCACAGAATTATGACGCTTATTATTTACTCTTATATGACAATGGGTGTTCCATCTTACATCGTCTATCGCATGAGCATTTGTTTTGGAAACAGATTGAAAACAACAGGTTCCACCGAAGGTAGATGTACTAGATGTGGAGAAAAGGTAAATATCTCAGGAAACACTTTTCTCATTGAGCATGTAGGTATTATCTTCCAACAAAACAAAATTTATGGCACAGGGGTGTGAAGGTGGAAGTTAGATGTACTGGATGTGGAAAAAAGGTCGAATCAGTAGAGTATGTTTGTTGAACTGCCCTTTAGCAAAAGGGGAATGGATGTCGAGTCCGTTAAGGTTTCGAGATGAAGAAGCTCCCTACGGCTTTAAAGAGTGATTTAAGGATACGATACTTAATCTGAAATCGTCCCAAGTTGATATTATATTGATGATTGTATGGTCCTTATGGCCGTCTCAGAATGTTCGTATATTTTAGAATAAAGAGCTACCAATCTCTAATATTGTTCAACAAGCTTTCAGTTTACTTCAAGAATATTAGAACACTGGCGTTGTAGCTAGCAAGTCAGTGCAGATGTTCAGAAATGGTAGGTGGTGACCACTGAAATAGGAAACCGTCAAAATTAACTCTAATGCAATCATTTTCGATTGAGGGGTACATGTTTTGGTATAGTTGTTTGAAAATCCACTGAAACAGACAGTTTGATTCTTGTACAGCAATTTCATTCGAGGTTTGTTCCCTCTTCCGACTTTGGCATACGGATTTTGAAGCCACAACTGGTTTTTGAGTCTTTTTTATCTTTTACATGTTTTCACACTGTTAGGGAATGCAATAAGGTTGCGCACTCTCTTGCTAAAATGGCTTTCTCTTTAGATATGGAGGAACTATTGTGGACAGAGGAGGTTCCACCCTCTATCAACTCTATTGTTTTGGATGATTTTTCTCGTTAATTTGATTCAGTTGATCTTAAAAAAAACACTGTAATTTTTGGACACATGAAGTATTATATTTAATACAAAATCAATTAAATATATTTAGTTACTAAAATATACTATTATTCCTATGTCTATATATATATATATATATAATTCCTATGTCTATATATAGATATATATATATTATATATTTTAAATTTTATATATATATTAAATTTAAATAAAATCAAATGTTTAAAATTCTATCAATTCCTAGTCCACGTATCAAATTTAGACGATACAACTAGCTAAAGATTAATTAAGCAAAACCAGCGTTCTCTTATTATTATGTACATAATTCCAACGTGTGCTTAGGTGAAAACGTATAACAGAAGAGAACGTGCAAGACCAACGACTAAGCGACGAAGTCCAAGTCTTCTTTTACAAGCCAAACATTTAGATATTATTGTTAATTTATTGGAAGAATCATTATTTAGTCCCTAAAATTTAATCAAAATTACTAATTATTCTCTAATATTTATTTGGTTCAAAATATAATTTATTTTTTGAAAAATAAATTTCTTGAAAGGTGCATTTAAAGGAAATTATTTTTCAGGAAACATAATACGAAAGTGTTTAGTATGAAAATTAAGTTTCTAGAAAATAAATCATTGTCAAATTATAAAAAATGATTATATGCATAAAGCTAATAAGATAAATTGATAAATTTATTGCACTTATCTAGAAAAAATACAATTTCTCTACCTGTTCTTAAAAAAAATAATTTTATATAGGGAAATTGAATGATATATTTCGATCAAATATAAATATTTTATACATTTCTTAAAAATTTACTCTTTTAAAATATAATTTATTCTGATCAAACATCTCTTTGATTATTCTATTAAAAACCGTGCTTTAGATTATGTCAATTCGAAGGATCAAAAGATTAAATATTATAAGATATTTACTCAAGAAATATACTTTTTAGACAAATTATTAATAATTTAATCAAATTAAATCTTAACAGTGATTTACCAAACAATAGAACAAATTGTTTTCCAAAAAAAAAAAAAAAAAAAAAACATGATTTTACCCAACAAATAAAAAAATTGTTTTCCAAAAAAAAAAAAAAAAAAAGTTAATTAACAATTTTAGTAGCCAAAATTAAAGAATTAAAAAAAAAAAAAAAAAAAAAACGAATTAACAATTTTAGCCAAATTTAAAGAATTAAAAAATAATTTTTTTATTTATATAATAATAATAATCATTTCCTATGAGGTCCAAATTTTGCAATAGAAAAATAATATTCTATTGTTAGGTTTTTATTATTTTGACCATTAAACTAGGTTTTTGTTATTTACAAATCAATTGCGAGCCAAACAATTAAGGGAACCGTTGTAAGTCTTCATAGCCCTGAATGCCGCTTTCTCTCCTTTCTCTCTCTCTCATGGATGAACAGAATCAAGAAGAAACTCATCAATCAAAACCCAGAACCACCCTATTTCTTTCTTGTTTTGGATTTTCCGGGAAAATTGAGGTTTCCGAAAAAAAATCTTCAAAATTTCACAAGCCTTGGTTTTCACGGTCAACGATTCTCCGGAAAAAGCCCGGCGCCAAAACCGTCCCTGTCGACTCTACAGATTCTGAGAAAGTAATACACAGTAAAAAGACTACTTATTGCAAATCAAAGCTCAAGCGGAACTCCGATCAAATTACTCCAAAGCGTCAAAATCCGGCAGTCAACGATAAGAATCCAGGAAGAAAACAGCAACCTAAAGAGGTATGTCTTTAGTTCAAAGCTTATATATTTCAACACTTGGATTGCATTTTTCTTATTTAATCCAATCATAGTAAATATTCCCTGATTGAAGGTATTGTTCTGACAGAAAATCATCCTCGAACATGGGAAACACATGGACCATGCGATGGATTCTGTAGCATCTCCGAAAAACCTGTCGTTTCGCCGGAAAATAGATGCTATAAGAACAGGGTCAAGTCAACCCGGTTCACTGGAGGACAAACCCCAGTCCCATGCAACCGTTGACCGCTCCATATCGCTGCCGTCAGCAACTCATCGGGTAGAAAAATCGCGGGTCGGTCCAAAAAAACCTCGCAAAGAAAAGTTTGACCCGGTGATTGGAATGTCGATAGTGATGGTGACCTTGATAATAATGTTGCTATGGGGTCGGATGTGTGCTATTCTTTGTACATGTGCGTGGTTATATTTCGTCCCAAGGTTAAGAACTCAGGATGAAATTGGCAAAAACGGTGCCGTTGCTGTCAAACCGGATTTCAGTTCAGAAGAGCATAAGAAGAGAGTGGTTATGGAGGGATTTCTTGACAGAAACCATCGGTCTTTGTTGTAATTTTGTGTTAAATGGCATTTTGTGTAAATTGTTTGTAGAAATATGGATTTGTCAGAAAATCAAAATAAAGGATAATAGTCAATTTTCTAGAAGACTATTTAATAGGCAGTTGGAAATGTCACGTCATACATAATGAAAAATTTAATTGATTTTTTTTAATTATTTAATTGATTTGATTTTAACATTATTATAATTCCTTTAAAAAAAGCTTTATTATAATTAAATTTTAAATATGATAATTTTTTTTAACCACGGATCAGTGAAATTTTTCTAACTCAAATTCTAACGATAACATGAATTTTCATAGATATAATTTTAACGATAACACGAATTTTCATAGATATAACGAGTATAAGAAGAACTAATCATTTAACCTTTTTAATATATACATATATATTAATTTGATATTTTTAATCAATTAGTCAAAAATCCATTTCGGAGAAATCACTTCTTCACAAATTAGTTAGGAAAACAGAGAGCAGATTTTTAATAGGTACAGGGATCTAAGTCACAGTTGCTTATTAAATAGGAGATCTATAGCAGCTGTAGCACTTTCCATGTGGGATTAAGGAAAAGGAGTATTCACACGTATTAAGCTTTGAAGACGGCATTGATAATTTGTTTTTTTTATTAATTGTTCAAAATTTAATTCTAGGAGAAATCATACATCACATTTTTTAAAATTACAATTTGATTTCTCACCATTTCTAAAATCTCAATTTAATTCAATTCGATTCAATATTATAAATAGAAGTGTAAATAAATCGAGCCGAGTTTAAAAATTTGCTCAATAGAATCTAGCTCGATTTGAGCTCAGCTCAAAATTCAACAAGTCAAAATATTTAAGTTCAGGCTCGACTCAATGAAAGTTCGAGCTCCGTTCGAGTTTGACTCAAGTTCAATTTTGGGCTCAAATTAAAATTGAAAAATTTTAAGTTTGAATTCAGCTTGAGTAATTTAAAATAATTATATATATATATATATATATACTATATATATATATTATATTATATATATTATATATAGATATATTTAAACTCAATAAGGTTCGTCTCACATAAAACAAGATATATAAACTCAATAAGGTTCGATCACTAAACAAGCAAGTTTGAGCTCGAATTCGAGCCAATTTTTTTTTTTTTACTTTTTTCGAGCCGACCTGGAACAACTCATGAGCCGGCTCAGCTCATTTCCATCCTTATTTATAAATTCTTTAGTTTGATTTTTTAAAAGAATTGATATTTCCATTTTACATAAATTAATAGACCCACAGTATGCTCACTCTACCTACGTGTGGACTAAGAATCGCATGATACATAAATTAACTAAAATTAGATTTTTATTTCTAGAACTAATTAGAATTGGATATGCAATTCTGATGAATTGAACTTGGCACGTGGTCAATATAGAGCGGCCAATTTTTATTGTCCGCTTGCAAACCACCTAACCCCTAAAATTTCTTTTCTAAAATATGAGATATTGCCAATTGCCAGCAGCTACTATATAATATAATGAATCAAATCAAATATAATACATATACATTAAATTGCAGCTAAAACCACGTTTCCATAATTTCTTATTACCTGACGCAAATTTTTAGACTTTAAAATTTTTAATTTAAAATTAGAATTGAGATGCTGCATTTAATTAATTTAGCTAAGCCGCCAATTTGTACTTGGACCACGCTCTGTGTATGGTTTGGATCCGGATAGACCAAATGGACTTCGGGCCAGAAATGATCTAGATATTTCTATTCTACAACAGAATTGGAAGAGGCTAATTTCAGTTTCAGTTTTTTTTTTTTTTCATTATCAGTCCCAAAAATTGATTTGAAATTGTCATGAACTGGTAGTTCCGAAGCAGTTTGATCTCCAATAAAAAAAAAAAAGAAAAAAAAAAGCACAGAACTAACATTTTTCCGTGGCTTTTCTATTAAAGATCGGTGCTTTGTTCAAATCTTTCTATCCTTAACGGGTATTGTATTTTTCGTGTTTTTAAAATTGGACTGAATATCGAATGATGAGTGGATCACAATTAGATTGAATCAACTCGGTTTAAAAGATCTTTTATTTTTTAATTTTTTATAAAAATTAACAAAATATAAAAAGTAATAATATATAAATTATATATTAATATATAATTAAATAAATATATAATATATAATCTTAGGTTATTTAATTATCCAAACCCAAAATGTTTTATATTCATATAATAATAAATATCAAAATATAATATATATAATCTTTATGTTATTAATTATCCAAACCAAATGTTTTATATTCAATATAATAATAAAATATCAAAATATAATTATAGTAATTTAAATGTTAAAATAATTCTAAATCATTTATAAATCACACGAAATATAAGATATTTGTGTACTAACTAAATTATATTATTTTTTATTAAATAATTAAGTATTAGTTATAAAATAAGGATTTTTTTAAAAAAAAATTGGATACATCATATTGAAGTTGATTTTACAAGAACATTCATATTATTTATTTGTAATAAAAGCCAGTAGATCCCAAGGTATTAGTTTTTTAAAGAAAAAAAGGGTTTTGAATGCCAAATTTGAACCCTTGACCTTTTTAAAAAAATATTTTATGCTTTAACTACTAGATCTATTTAATTTATAATAAAAATAACTTTTTTTTTTAAAAAAAAAAATAAAGCTGCCCAATTTGTAGCGGAAAATGTACTACATCAGACTGAATCACCAACCAGTTCTTGAGTTATCGATCGACCGGCTGGTCCAGTCTAATTTTAAAATATCGATTTTTTTAATGTGAATTCTATTAAATTTAGAGTTAGAAATTTTTTGCAGCACTACTTTGACTTACCATTATTACCTAATAGATAGATTTAATATTGAACCTTCCCGTTATTTTTGCTTTCCTTCCATTGTTAACATTCGTCTTCTCCCTTCATTAACAAAACTAAAGGATTTTATTTAATGTCTTTGAATTTATACCACTTTTCTTTTATCATCTCCAATCATCAAAATGTCACATAAAAATTACCGATCTTTTAGATTTTTAACAATAAAAGCATTTACCCATATTACCAATCACTTTTGATTGGATCGTACAATCAGCGTCTGCATTCCCACCAGATTTTTCGCTTGTCATGCTCTTTTGTAGAATGAACCATCGTGAGTATACTGACAAATAAGTGCAAAGCACAAATTTATGTGTAATTATTGCAGGTAATTGAAGAAAAACAAAAGAGTGTCTGATCCAGCAGTCTTAGTGGCGCCAACCACATGTAGTGGCGCTAGCCACTAATATAGTGGAGTGCACCACATCTCTAGAGGCCCATGCCACAGGCAAGGCTTGTAGAACAACCCAGCAAAACAGCAGCGCAAGTGCCGCACATTGTAGCTACTATGGCGCATGCCACAGCGATGCAAGCAAGCACCAATCACGCAAAACAGGTACGTTTTTGTCTAGTTTTTGGTTGCTAACCTATTATTTGCATGTTTCTAGTGTTCCTAATGTAGGAAAATATAGAAAAGGTTTAGAATTAACTTGGCTGTGCTCCAGTAGAGGTGACTGGGCAACTCCAGCCTTAAGCTGATAGAACTCTAAGCATGAGTAATGTCGTGACTAAGTAATCGGTTCACGGGGTCGATCATGACACCCCCGGGAAGCCAATCTATGATGTTCTTGGCTACCATAGTGCTCGAAAGAAAAGAAAGGGAAACAGAGGATTAAGAAAGTGTTTTGGAAGCTTTAGTAGGTTTAAAGTAACAACTAAAGGATCACTTTCAATTATTTATAGCTTAATGAGCTTATAGGCCCAACTCAGGCCCTAGGCCCAAGATGGACCCTTAGGCCCAGATGCAACGACAAGCTCTCATGCTTAGTCGGTGACCCACATCGGCTTGCCACCTAAGCAGGGGCATCATCACTGGTCACAGGTAAGGTTCTGAACCAACAGGTAAAATTTTCCTCGTTTTGCATGCCACGACACGATTTTCAATAAATTCATATAAATTCATGCGAGGTCATTTGCTTACATAAATTCAAATGAAGTCATGCATTTTTATGCAACCTCATGCATTTTTCATGAGCATGCTTTTTCAGGCAAAATCACAGAATTATAACCCTAATCAACTGAAAAGCTTTTGTTTTCTGTTAGCAAAACTATTTTGCAAGTTCATCCAAAGTGATGTAATTCAAACCAAGTCATTCAAATAACGCAATCGCCCAAAGTGGCGCATTTCAGAACAACCCGTCCTAAGTGCCGCATTAAAGCCGCCCCAAGTGGTGCATTTAAGCTGTCTCAAGTGACGTATCCAAGCCATCCTAAGTGGCGCATTGAAGCCGTCCCAAATGGTGCATCCAAGTTGTCTTGAATGGCACACCCAAGACGTCCCAAGTGGCGCATCTAAGCTGTCCCAAATGGCGCATCTAAGCCATCCCAAGTGGCGCATCTAAGCCATCCCAGGTGGCGCACCCACTGACCAAATCATCGAAGCTGGCATATCCTTTCAGCTCAAGCTGTTCAAAGAATGCACTTGTCCAAAGTGACGCATTCCAGCAAAGCCGCTAAAATGGCGCAATCAGTCGCAGAAGTCGCCAGCCATCACATTGGCACAAAACACCCACTCTTTATGTCTAAAGTGACAAACCGCCCAAAGTGGCACATTTCAGATCAAGCTGACCTAGGTGGTGCACCCACTGACCGAATCGTCGAAACTAGCGTATCCCTTCAGTGCAAGCCATTCAAAGAAAGCACCCATCTAAAGTAACACATTTCAATAAAGGCGTCAGATGGCATAATCAGCCGCAGAAGACGTCAACCACCATAATGCAATTCATCAGCCAAACAACGCCAAAATGGCACTCCACATGAATAAAGCTAACAAAATGGCGCATTTTCTACATCCAAGTCGTTCAAAGAACATAAATTAGTCCAAATGCCCACCTTATCTCAACCAAACACGGCGATTCACCAACTATCAAGTAATTTTCGCTTACTTGTGCTCTACTTTATACTTTGACGACATCTTGCTCAAAAACCAAAATGTCATCAAATTGGGGGCAAATTGTAGACGCTCAATTTTCGCCCTTAAAAAGCTCAGTGG